GATTGTCATGGAGAAAATCCATCCATGTGGTCAGTAAAAGTTAACAACAACTTGAGAGCAATCAATATATATAAGGATCTAGTCAACTAATGGTCAGTACTAAATTGGTGCTAGGTAAGAGTTAACAGAATTCAAGATGGTTTAAACTTAGCAAATAGCACTTAGACATATGCTGCTTCACAGTGCTTTACAGCCCTATCTAAGTGGTTTACAGAGTCAGTATATTGCCCCCAGTAATCTGGGTCCTCACTTTACTGACCTCGGAAGGATAGAAGGCTTAGTCAACCTTGAGCTGATGAGAATTGAACTGCCAAATTGCAGGCAACAGAAATAGCTTGCAGTACTGCATTGTAAGCACTGCACCACCACAGCTCTTCTTAGACTGCTTATGGGAATCTAATGACTCTAGACCAGGAGTGTCAAACTCAAGGCCCGGGGGCTGGATCCGGCCTGGGGGTGGTGCTTAGATCTGGTCCATGGGGCTGCCCTGGAAACAGTGAAGGACTGGCCCGTGGTGCCTCTAACAGTGAAAACAGAGCTTGGGAAGGCCACCCGCAGCAGAGGGTTGCAGGAGGCCACAGCGGCTGAGAACGGAGCTCAGGAGCCTGTTTTCGCTGGAAGAGCACTCAGGTCACCACAATGAAATTGAGTTTGACACCCTTGCTCTAGGCTGATTACTCTCTTGACTCCACCTCTAGACTCTGCCTATTCTTCTCCTATAGTCAGTCAGTCAGTCAGTCAGTCAATCAATCAATCAGTCTACTCACTGAGAGTCACAGCTTTATTCATGCTAGTAACCGGAGGACGCGACCTCTGCTTGAAGTCCACTCTGACTCTCCTCGGTGGTGTGGTGGCTGAAATTGGAGTGATTTCATATGACTGAGAGGAAACTGGAGAAGTGTTCCCAGAATAGGAGACACTGGTTGGCTGAGAAGTCGGGAAGTCTGTCTGAGAGCTGGATGGTTCGGATACCCCAGTAATGCCTGTAAAATCAAAACACATTCATTTTAAAGAATGCCCTTTCCCCCCCGCTGCCTGCTTTCTATTCACTGCTGTTTAGTACCAGATCCTGCAAATTTCTTGATAATAGTTTCATCCATCTAACAGCAGCGCGAAGCCTAAAATTTGGCAATAAGCACTAGTGGGCTGCTGCCGGTTCAGACCAGACCCGAACTGGTAATTCCGAGCGCTGGTTGGCCCCACCCAACTGCTCTGATATTATCCGGTCCTAGATATCTTATTTTCCGGCTTGCTCGCCCAACCCACTGATTTGTACGTCTCTCCTACTATCTGTGGCTGACCTAGCAGGTGTGCAGGAAGGCGCTCCCATTAAAAAAAACCTTGTTTTAGGGTGTTGCGTGCAAGTGCGGAAGGCATGAGTGCGTAGTGTGCGTGTGCAAAGTGTGCGTGCATGCACACTCACATTTTCGGCGAACTGGTTGTTAAAGTATGTGCAGCTGACCTCTGCAATAAGCCATTCTAAACAATTTTGGAAATATGGTCCAGTAAGCAATGTTGCTCAGAGATGATAAGGACAAGTGTGACATTCTGCCTTTAGTCTAGGACAGTGATGGGCAACCTTTTTGGCGTGGTGTGTCAAAAATCGGCAAAAAATCGAGCATAANCCTTGCACCCCTAACCCTTTAGAAAAAATACCCCAGGGGTATTCAAACTTGACAGCTTTAAGACTTGTGGACTTCAACTCCCAGAATTCCTCCTCTTGCTCTTCATCTTGATGATGTGTGGACGGGCGGGGGGAGGGAGTTGGAACCGGTTCTAAATGGCACTCTAGATTTGTGGAACCTCTTCTATAGAAGAGGTAGAACTGGCCGGAACCCACCCCTGCCTTAACTACTACTCGAAACTAAATGTCCCATTCCTCTTATATATCTATATACCACTAAACTCTCATTGTCATGGCCAGGGGTGGGTTCCTGCCAGCAATACTACCAATTTGGCGCAAAAAAATTGCGCATGTACGCATTTGCCCCTAAAAAGGTCTGCGCACATGCACAACATTAGAAAAGGGGGAAAAATGCATTTTTTTCAATGAAGATTGTAAAATCAAGATGGCGGCCACGAGGATAAAACCGATTTGGGTGCATGTCCGGCCGAGTTACTATCTACTCAACCGAACCAGTCCAAACTGGTCATGACTTTTAACATGTCAAAACGTGTACTTCATAGTCAACTGTCAACCTCCAGCTTGAGAATCCAAATAAAACTTCGTTCCATTTCCAAAAATCTTACTGTTTATTGAATACATTGCATGGTAATGTCGAAGCAAAACTAACTCTCAAAATTCCCAGACACCAGTTCATAGAATTAAACAATAATTTCCCCAGCCAAACCTCCCAACCTCTCACATAGTCCATGTAAACTAATTCATTTTGTTAAGGGAACCGTCTGCTTCAATTCCACACCTGCTACGATGTCCTTGAAAAGGTTTCAGGTTCTCATGGTCTTCAGTGGAATCATAGAGGTTTTGTTTCTCCATCTAACCCATTCTAAAGCAACACCTTCCCCTCCTTAGTCTAATGGCAGTTGAAATGAAGAGGCACGCAGCTGCCAAAGTTTCATTTTTGATAGCAACAATTTTTGAACCAGGGTACCTCAAATGGGCTAACTTACAGAACATCTCCAAAATCCAGGACCCATGACTTCTGGAGAATAATATTTGGGGAAGCTGCGGCTGTTACTGACAGCTGCTATTCATTTCTATGTTCTGTGACAGTTCCCAGCCAGTCTCATAATCCTTTGCTCCCTACCCCATCCAGCAGCAACCACTTGTGTACATTCTGGGAAGGGAAAGGGAGAGCAAAGGATGGGAGGGGAGGGCAGGGAACTCAATGGGGAAACTGGCAGGAAGTTGAGTTTCACTCCTGCTCCCACTGCTTTTTTGCTTGGGTCATTCTGTTGTTTTTCTGTTTAGGTAAAGAAATACCTCAGAAACAAAGACACAGAATTGAATGCTCTGTTTAGTGGCAAATCTTACTCTCCTGAAATGCTATGATACATATCTAGGAGAACAATCCATGACTCTGGAAGATTTTACCATCAGAGCTCTTATCCTTCAACACAATTTAATAGCACCCACACAATTTAATACTGGAATTCCATGATTTAGTGGGGGCGAGGGACATTCTTTCCCGTGCTTTTTCCCCAATCAGTTTCACCACGATCACCACAAATGGTGACTTTCGCATCTCCATTATAGAAGCATCATCTCTTTTCTTCCTTCAGTGCAGCAATGAAAGTTAAGTTCCACTGTTAACCTATGCAAGGCTGGGCTTCAAAAATTTCAGCAACAGGTTCTCTTGCCTAGTTGCTCGGTGGGTGTGGGTGTGGTCATGGTGGGCATGGCCTAGTTGGTCTCCTGCATCATAACGGGGGGGTGGGGTGTTGCCATCCCCAGGCTCCAGGGGCCCTCCAGAAGCTGGAAACAGGCTCATTTTTGGCCTTCCAGAACTTCCAGGAGGCCTGTTTTTTGCCCTCCCCAAGGTCTGCATGGGCCCTGTACTTACCTGGCATCCAAAATGGGCCGTGTGGAGACTCCTGGGAGGGGCAAGGTGGGGTGGGCGGGGCCAGCCATGGGTGGGATTTGGAGGTTCTCCGAACTGGCCATAACATTAGCTACAGGTTCTCCTGAACCCAGACGAATCCGTAGCAGCTGACTCCTGACCCTACGCCCTTTATTAAGCTCTAGGTTGAAAGTCCTCTTCACTGTCATGAACCTCTTGGTCAGGTTGTCTTGCTCTTCCCAGTAAAAGTTTGGAAAGCTCCAACCCTGCTGACACTTCAAGCTTTCAAACCCCACAGGACTTACCATGTTTTGAGCCTTTTTTCGGCACACAGTTTCCATTGGGATCCTCTTCATGACCAGGGAAACAAGAGCCACAGCTTGGTGCTCCATCTGGCCCACAGCCCATTCGCTGGTGAAGTAGGCAGTTGATCTTGTACCTGGCAGGGCACAGGGGGTCTGCAAAAAAGAGCACAGAAAGAGTTTGCCATAGCACTTCAACTTATATACCACTTCACAGTGCTTTTTACAGCCCTCTCTAAGCAGTTTACAGAAGCAGCCTATTGCCCCCAACAATCTGGGTCCTCATTTTACCCACCTCGGAGGGATGGAAGGCTGAGTCAACCTTGGATGAATTCATTGGGTTATACGTCTGAATTGAGCAGTATTTTGATTGACAAACTGAGTTTCTCTGCGTGAAAGTGTTCTTCAGCATTTCTATCAATTATTTAAATGATTATTCTTCAATCTGGATCTTAAGAGTACTGTAGTTTCTTTTCACTCTTTAAAGGTATGGGTGGCTTGTAATTCAAAATGTGTTTGGAGAAGGCTGAATTAAAAAGTTCTCAAAAGATCAAACTTGGCTTGCTAAATATAATTCCCCCAACAATCTGGGTCCTCATTTTACCCACCTCGGAAGGATGGGAGGCTGCGTCAACCTTGAGCTGGTCAGGATCGAACTGCCAGCAGTGGGCAGAATTAGCCTGCAATACTGCATTCTAACCACCACGGCTCACAGAGATGAGGAACACTTGCTTTAGAGATAATGGCATTGGTGTCATCCATTCAGTCGTATCCAACTCTTGGTCGGGGGTCTCTCCACAGTTTCCGATCTTGCACTTCTCTGAGTTTTCCCTATGTTCTGGCTGGTACTAGCTTTGATGATGTCTGATCATCATGTTATTTGATGGCCTGGTTGCCTTTTACTGCAAATTCATCCAAAGATCATTGCTTTCTTCAGTGAATTCCCCTGCATGACATGGCCAAAGTAAGTGAGATGCCCTTTCATGGTTTTGCCTTCTAGTGACAAAGGCCAATTCCTTGAAGTCGTCTCTGCTTTGCCAACCAGCTTCATTCTCGGTCCAAAGTACCTCCAACTTCTTCCTCATTTTCAGGAATTCTGGAACCCTGACATTTAAGGTCTAAGCAACATGCCGCGGTGAATCCCCTTCCTTGATGAGAATGATGGAAACTGGCATACAATAAATTGCACAAATTAGCATATTATGATAGAATAGATGAGTTGTAAGGGACATTGGAAAAATATGTAATCCAAATCAATTCTCAAACCATAGTACAGGTAGGTAATCCTCAACTTACAACCATTTGATTAATGACAGAATGGTACTGAAAAAAGTGACATGACCATTTTTTCACACAACCGTTGCAGCATCCCCATGATCACATGATCAAAATTCAGACGCTTAGCAACTGGCATGTATTTTTGGTGGTTGCAATGTCCCGGAATCATATTATTCCCATTTGCGACTTTCTGATCCGTAAAATCCATGGGGAAGCCAGAGTCACTTAACAATGATGTTATTACTTAGCAACTGCAGTGACTCAATAACTGTGACAACAATGTTGTAAAATGGGGCAAAACTCACTTCACAACTATCTTGCTTAGTCACCAAAATTTGGGGCTCAATTATAGTCATAAGTCAAGGACTACCTGCATTCCCTCTGGTGGCGCAGTAAGTTAGAATACGGTACTGCAGGCTACTTCTGCCGGCTGCCGGCTGACAGAAGTTTGGCAGTTCAAGTCTCACCAGGCCCAAGGTTGACTCAGCCTTTCCTCTTTCTGAAGTGAGTAAAATGAGGATCCAGATTGTTGGGGAAAATAGGCTNTTAAATCGGAACTGAGCATGCCTGACTGTGGAATTCTGGGAGTTGAAGTCCACAAGTCTAAAAAAATTTGAAACCCACCACTGTGTCAGTGCCTCACCAGCCATAAACCTCACCGCACGTCACTGTCTGGGAGTTGAAGTCCACTCATTTTAAAGTCACCAAGTTCGAGAAGCATTGCTCTGGAAAATCCTGTCACTTTTGATTGAGAGAGAATGTAAATTCTTGCCTGTAGCTCATATGCTTTCCCCTCTTCCTTATTTTCCCTGCCTTTTATCCTTTTGCTGTAATTATTGTTGCTGTTGTTGTTGTTATATTCAGTAAACATGAAACTCAGTCAACTGAACATTTAAAAATGTATCACAAATATCATTGACTGGCTCTGATGCTTGATACCGGTTGTTGTTGTTGTTATTTACATTCGTTGATGTTTAATCAATAAGCCTAAGAAATACTGAAGTAAACAGTGTGTGCGGGGAATGACTGAGAGAATGCTAGATGCAGTTTGAACTGGAAATGATTTCATTTTTCCAACACAGCTAAGAGATAAAAATAGATAGTGGATAAAATCATAATGCATATTCAATCTTTCCCAGGCAGTACAAATATCAGAGAGACAGGGAAATAAAAAAATATAGACTCGCTGGAATGCTTTGGATCAAAAGTTATTGGAAAGTAGACATTGCCAAGTAATTTGAGGTGTGGGGGTGAAGCACAATCCAACGTCAAGCTCTCCAAATTCTATGCCAAAGTTCCCATGACAGTGGCAATCAGAAGGTGCCCCATGATCCGACAATCTCTTGAATCATGAATCATTCCACTTCCAAGGCGTTATTATGCAAATACTAAATGCACTTAGAAATGAATGCAAAGCAGATGCTGATCTTATACACCTAGTCCTCAACCTACAATCACAATTGAGCCCAAAATTTCTGTTGCTAAGCAAGAGGGTCGTTAAATGACATTTGCCCTTATCTTGCCACAGTTGTTCAGTGAATCACTGCAGTTGTTAAGTTAATAACACAGTTGTTAAGTGAATCTGGCTTCCCCATTGCCTTGGTTTGTTGGAAGCTGGTTGCAAATAGCAATAGCATCCTTAGACTTATATACCACTTCATAGGGCTTTATAGCCCTCTTTAACCAGATTACAGAATCAGTATATTACCACCACCATCACCCCCGAATCTGTGTTCTCATTTTTACAGACCTCAGAAGGATGGAAGGCTGAGTCAACCTAGAGCCTGGTCAGAATCGAACTACCAAATTAGCCTGCAATATTGCTTACTAACCATTGTGCCACCATGGCTCTTAAAATGGTGATCACATCACCCCCCCCCGGGGACACTGCAACCATCATAAATACATGCCAGGTGCCAAGTGTGCGATTTTTGATCACGTGACTGTGGGGGAAGCTACAACAGTTATGTGAAAAAACAATCATAAGTCAGTTTGTTTAGTGCCAGTATAACTTCAAATGGTCACTAAAGGAATGGTTGTTAAGTGAAGAACTACCTGTATGCAGTCACTTGCCCTGCCTGTGTGTGTTTGTGTGTCTGTGTGTGTGTGTTTCTTCCTTGATAGTTACTTGATTAAACTTTTTGATGGTGATGAAAGAAATGTCCTTCTGGGTTCGGCTCCAAGTGGGGAAAAAGACACTGGAGACATGGAGGCTGCTTGGAAAGATGGTTTATTGGTGGACAGGACCACATGGCTTCAGCTCTTGAAGAGAAAAGGTGATCACATGCTTCAGTGTTGGTGGAAAAGAAGAGAAGGGCTGAGGGAGGGGCTTGCTGGGCTTTTTATAACCTGTTCAGTCCCACCTCTCTGTTTCCTGTTCCTGTGTAAGAAATGTATTCTGATTGGTTGTCAGGCTCCCATGGGGCCAATGCAGGGGCAACTCTCTAGGCTGTGTTTTGAATCCAGGTTTGGTTGAGTTCTCAGATGCCATGTGGCGAGTTGGGGCCAATATTATCATGCTTTTAATCCCATCCCCCTGGAGCTGAAGTGGAGAACTCTTTATTATGTAAAGGGACTAGCTTGGCCTTCTTAATGGCCCATTGACAAAGTGGGGATGGGCAGGAAGCTACAGGGAGCTATTCTGTCTTTTAAAACATGTTTCTTTCTTTTCACATCCAGAGAAATACTCTGCCTTTTCAATATTTCCTAGGATATTTCATTTTTCTGGGAGAGGGCTGGGTGATAACTTCCTACAATGGTTTGAAATTATTAAGGAGAATTGGGCCCCTTATGTTAATTCCTTGCACTAGATAGATAGAACTCTTCCCCCCCCCCAAAATAATTTGTTTCCCTTTTGGAGAAAGAAAGAAGAGTTGGTGAGTTTACGTACCAGGTATGGTGGTCTCCATCGTGGACAGCTGCAATGCCTTTTCATGCTTAGCCAAAAGATAACGCAAAAGACCCGGCAAATCTTTAGGTCTCTTTTGAGTTTTGAGTTTGGTTTCTGAAAGAGAGGAAATGGAGGGGGAAGTGCAGTCAGTAAACACACACACACACTAACACTCACTAGCAATGCAAGTGTTTAATGTTTGACATTCAGCGTCATGTTGATGTTGAGACTCTGAAAAAAAGTGCAGAGAAGAGCAACAAAGATGATTAGGGGACTGGAGGCTAAAACATAGGAAGAACGGTTGCAGGAACTGGGTATGTCTAGTTTAATAGAAAGAAGGACTAGGGAAACATGATAGCAGTCTTCCAATATCTCAGGGGTTGCCTCAAAGAAGAGGGAGTCAAACTATTCTCCAAGGCACCTGAGGGTAGAACAAGAAGCAATGGGTGGAAACTAATCAAGGAGAGAAGCAACTTAGAACTGAGGAGAAATTTCCTGACAGTGAGGACAATTAATCAGTGGAACAGCTTGCCTCCAGAAGTTGTGAATGCTCCAACACTGGAGGCTTTTAAGAAGAAGCTGGACATCCGTTTGCCTGAAATGATATAGTGCAGAGAAGAGCAACTAAGGTAATTAATTATCTTTAAGATGAATCATCTTTAATCATCTTAGTTGCTCTTCATGTAAAACATATGAAGAATGGTTGCAGGAATTGGGTATGGCCAGTTTAGAGAAAAGAAGGACTAGGGGTGACATGATAGCAGTATTTGAGGGGCTGCCACAAAGAATAGTAAAGGTAAAGGTTCCCCTCACATATGTTCCTGACTCTAGGGGGCAGTGCTCATCTCTATTTCAAAGCCGAAGAGCCAACACTGTCCGAAGACATCTTCATGGTCATGTGGCCGGCATGACTAAATGCCAAAGGTGCACAAAACTCTCTTACCTTCCCCCAAAAGTGGTCCCTATTTTTTCTACTTGCATTTTTACATGCTTTCGAACTGCTAGGTTGCCAGAAGCTGGGACAAGTATTGGAAGCTCACTCGGTTATGCGGCGCTACGGATTCGAACCACCGAACTGCCGACCTTTCTGATCGACAAGCTCAGCCTCTGAGCCACTGCATCCCTGGGGTTTGGACAAGAAGACCTCTAAAGTCCCTTTCAATTCATCATGATAATGATGATGATTCTTCATCATTCCGATTGCCATCCTACTGCACTGTTTTCAATTACGAAGTTTGCAGAGGAAGCTAAGTAATAAAACCAGATCTCTGCTCAGTTGAATGTGCAGTCAAGATGTCAAGAGGAAGTGAAGAGAGAAGCAAAATTGGCTGAAAGAGGTGAGAGTCACAAGAAAATCTAACAGTGGAAGGAGTCAACCTTTACAGCATATTCCTTTACAAGAGGTCCTTGACTTACAATCATAATTGAGGCTGGCAATTGAATCATGACAGTGATAAAGCTGCTCAATATGAATTTTACAATCCTTTTATTTTGCAGCGGTTGTTAAGCAAACCTATTGTTTGCTATGGGGCGATTTTTGCAAGAAACCAGAATTAAATGTCACTTTCCAAAAAAAAACCCATTGTAAATAGCAGTCACATGACTCTGGGGCACCTCAAACAACCATAAATGTGGGCCAGTTTCCAAGTACCCAAACCGCAGTCACATGACCACGGGATGGGGAGAATTACACACTTTGGAATCAAGTTGTAAACAGCTTTTGGGTGGTAACTTTGAACAGTCACTAAGGGATTGGTCATAAGTCCAGGACAACCTGTACACTGTGGCTGAAAAATTCTGGAATTTTGTTTGACCTGTGGCAAATCATTTTCGGGTTAAACACAGGGGAGCAAAGATAATAGTTTCACTGTGTGCCTTTAAATCAAGGGTCTCCTAACTTGACAACTTTAAGATGCATGGCTTTCAATTTCCAGAATTTCTCAACCAACCATGCTAGCTTGGGAATGCTGGGAATTGAAGTCCACAAGTCTTAAAGAGGTCAAGTTTGGAGACCCCTGATTTAAATGATGGGTTCATATATAGTGGGTCGAGCAGAAGGAATATCCATGAGGAACAGTTGCAATCCAGACAATTGTCGAATAAAGGAATCTGAGTTTGGTACAGAAGTGTAGAATAGAATATCAGAATTGGAAGGGACCTCGGAGGTCTTCTAATCCAACCCCCTGCCTAGGCAGAAAACCCTACACCACTTCAGACAAATGGTTGTCCAATATCTTCTAAGAAACTTCCAGTGTTGGAGCATTCAAACTTCTGGAGGCAAGCTGTTCCACTGATCAATTGTTCTACCTGTCAGGAAATTTCTCCTCAGTTCCAAG